TGAATATGAGCCAGCAGTGTGCCCAGGTGGCCAAGAGGGCCAACAGCATCCTGGCTTGTATAAGGACTGGTGTGGCCAGCAGGAGCAGGGCAGTGACTGTGCCCCTGTCCTGGGCACTGATGAGGCCACCCCTCGAATGCTGGGTTCAGTGTTGGGCCCCTCACTCCCAGAAGAACATGGAGGGGCTGGAGCATGTCCAGAGAAGGGCAACGGAGCTGGGAGGGATCTGGAGCCCAAGGCTGATGAGGAGCAGCTGGGGGAGCTGGGAGTGTTCAACCTGGAGAAGAGGAGACTGAGGGGAGCCCTTATCGCTCCCTACAACTGCCTGACAGGAGGAGGGAGCCGGGGGTGGGGGGGGAAGGAGGGACTGGCTCCCTGCTCCCAGGGAATGGGCAACGGGACAAGAGGAAGCGGCCTCAAGTTGTGCCAAGGCAGGTTTAGGCTAGATATTAGGAAAAAAATTTTTCACCAAAAGGGTTGTCAAGCACTGAAAGGGGCTGCCCGGGGAACGGGTTGAGTCCCCATCCCTGGTGGTATTTAACAGATGGGTAGACGTGGTGCTTAGGGACAAGGTTTAGCGGTGGACAGGTACAGTTGGACTTAATGATCTTAAAGGTCTTTTCCAACCAAATGATTGATTCTATGTGAGAGCAGCAGGACTGCAGCGAGGCAGCTGAGCGCCCTACATAGTCATACCACTTGGTGAAGTTGTACAAAATTAAGAGCCCAGAGGGACATGGTCGCAGCTGAACTTTGCAGACTGGCATTTAGAGGTAGGTAATGTTTGTAGTAGAGAGTAGAGAACTGTCACTGTCTCTGTTGGTAGCTGATGAAAGGGACACCACTGCTGTGCTCTGTGTGGTCACCAGGAGCTGTTACCCACAGTGACACTCATCTGGCCAGATGCAGACTCCTGTACCTGAGGCTGTGCTTCCTTTGCACAACTGGGTCAACAGAAAATAAAAACGTGGGTAAAGTCAGATCTCCATAACATGCACACTGTCGTTTGGGTCTTGTGTCTTGCCCAGACCTCCACCATCTGTAACAGGAGCCTGAACACTTTGCACATGGAGATGTGCTCTGGCATTAGCTCAGCTCCATCTCTTCTGCATTGTCAGGTGCTGTGTGTCTCATGAGATCCACTTGCCAGGAGTGGAGGTAGGTGGTACACTACAGCATAAAAAATAGGCCTTGCCTATGTGGGGCAGGGCCGGCTCATTGTGCTTTGGGCTTTCTCCACTCTAAATGCTGACAGAGCCTGTATCTTCTAAATGGATCCTGCCACTGCCCTCCCCTACCCCACCATCAGGCTGGTATCCTGATGAGCCCATCAGGATGCCTAAGGGCATTCACACTCTTCCCCAGAGCAAAAAATGCTGCCAGAGGCAACTGTGGGTCCTGGCCAGTCTGTGATGCTGCGGGGTTGTCTCTTACAGGGTGCTTCCCATGCCTGCCGGACAACATCTCGGAGATGAGTTGTATTCCTTTCCACTCAATGAACACGCTGCACAATGGAGCAAGAAGCAAGGTAGTACCAAGCTCACAGGCATCACACCTGTTTGTAACCCCTCCAGAGGCTTCAGCTAGCCTGAAACCAGTTTGCTAATGCAATTTTCAAGGTACAGGAGCTTTACCAGTGAATTCTTTTTCTTCATTGCTGAAGAAGCAGCTGCAGAGACTTTGCTCAGGGGACTCCCACTTCTCATCTCTGTACCTGCAATCTTAATCTCCTCCATAGGATGATAGGCCTGTCTCTGTATGGAAACCTTGACTGCACAGCCACTCTGAACTATGGTACTCCCTGAACAAGCAAGAATTTCTTGTTAATCACTTGCATTTAGCCAAGATCCCAGAAGTATCCCTGTGACTTTGGTCCACCAGCCCATGACAGCTGTCCTACACAGCTCCACAACTGAAAGCTTTCAGATCCTAGTGAGTTTTTGCAATTCTCCTAATATACCCTTGTATTGGGTTGTGGTCACCTCAGTACCTGTGCTCCCAGCATGCTCTGTCTCTAGGCAGGAGGAAACTATTCCCCACTGGTTGCTTTACACATTAAGAGGGAAGGAGAGCAGCAAATGTTGTTTAGAAGCAGTTTCTTCCCTATTGCTGTCAGTCTCTGCAACAAGCTTTGCATGATCTACTCATCACCAGCTGAGATCTTGTACCAAGGAGCCAAACACAGTGAAACTTCCTCCTGAGTTGGACTAGGGTGCTCTTTTACCTGAAGCTTTATGTCCATCATGCTCTGCAGGCAACAACTCTGTTGCTCGTTCTCAGCAGTTGAACTCTTTCCTCTCAGACAAGTTCCTACCAAAACCAGGGTGGAGTCAGCAGGATTGGACCCTAAGCTGAGCTCCAGCATGACTACCTAGGCAGCCTCGGTCTGTGCCCCTCTTCAGGACCACCCCGTCCGTCTGGGACCAGATATGGTCAGAGACTGCTTCAAACACAGAGGTACGTTACCCTGTCAGTGCCCACAGGCCACCAAGCGCAGATGGCAGCACTGTTGGGGAGACACCGCCCCGGCAGCTCCAGGAGGTGCTCAGGTGTTGGAGCAGCATCTGCCCTGGGCAAGGTGATCACATCTGGCTCAGACAGTGGGAGCTACACCAGTCCTTCATTTATAGCCCACCACCCCACTGCAGGGCTGGCCCACAGTTTTCCTCTCCTGTACACAAACACCATTGACCTCCTGCAGTGCTTTCTTCTCCCTGTTGGAAGCAGATCCCCCTCTCTGCAGAGGGACAAGGGCAATGCTGCAGAAGGGAAAAGGTCCCTTATCCCTTTTGGAGGTGCTGTGGGAACAGCCGCGACCCAGCAGCTCCCACATCTGAGCTGCACCCCACGTTCATTCCCAAATCTCACCTTCCAGGTGAGCAGCTACCACAGCAGCGTGCATGTGACACACATCTATATGCTGTACCTCCTCCCTGTCCCTTGGAATTATATGCCTCAATTCTGAGAGGCAAATGAATCAAAAAAACCAGCTGGTTGGAAAATATCTATGAAAACATTTATATAAAAAGGAAAGTGTTTCAATGACATGATTTTTTTTTTTTTAAATAAAGATTGTTTGGTGGAAGGGAAGAATTATTTTTGAAAAACAAGGGTTTCCTTTTGCAATTTTTGGATGGTTTCCCAAATTTATATTTTTAACCCTTCATTTTATTCTTTTATATTTCATTACATATATAAGTGTCAAATTGCATAATAAGACAAAGAGATAATGCTTTTAAATTAGTACTAAGTGGCAGCTCTAATAATCTTAAAATTAAATTATATTAAAATAAATTATATCAACTGCTATCTCTTACTGTTTCATGACATGGCAGTGCTAGCAGAGAATGGGATAACTATTATCAACTAGTATAATGGGAACAAATTTTTAAGCTCAAAATCCAAACTAAAAGTGAAAGAAACTGAAATTCTGAAGTTAAATTCAGATTTCTGAAATGCCTCCCCGGCCCCATGTTTATCAGGAAGTATTGAAAATTAGTGCATATTTTGCAATCTGAAACCACAATGGATTTATTTTTTTTTTTTAAATGAGCCTGTGAAATTGCAATATCCACCATGAGCATCCTCCTTTGCTCAGAGGTTAACTGTACGGCAGGACCACCACCACATAAAAAAAGACATTTCTGAGATTGGTTGCTTGAATGGCATCAGCTTCCCTTGCCTCGTCATGCAATCTTGCAGCCTTTCTGCAGCTGATGATAACAGAATTGCAGCCTGACCAGAAGTGCCACATCTCAGCAGTGCTCTCATGAGACTGGCTTGCTTGCCAGCCTCAGGATGCTATGTTCGGAGTCTGCCCAATATTTTCATGTTAAAGAAAATATTCCCTTCAAAACTAAATATGCTGCCTCAGGTTCTCTTCCAGCCATTGCATGGGAGATGCTGTTGCACCCCCCCACTCCAAGCCAGCACAGCTGCTCTGCAGCGAGCAACCCAAATGCCACTTTTCAGACATCACGGTAATTATTTACCTCCGTTTATATTCCCAAACCTGCTGCTAAGCAGCTCTCCACCAGTATAATACATCCCCAGTTACAGTCACTGTGGAAGAACCGCTGCTGACAACTGCTTGGCATTGCAGTTCAGTCTCACAGAGAAGCAGCATATTCAGGAGGGCCTGACCTGTGTCACTGCTGCCCAGGACTTGCAGCTTAGTTTTAGAAACAGCTGGACAGCACATAGACACTGAAGAGGACAAGGATCACTTTGAGCAGCACCTGTATGGCTTTCTTCCCGGTGATGAGCCCCATCCTGCTGCAGGACAGTGGTCCACATCCCACAGGACACTTGGGTGCCCATACACCAGCCCTCTCCTCACATTCTTGGCATGGATCCAGCTTAGCATGGTGCTTCCAAAGCTCCTTCCAAGAGAAGTGGTTTCAGTCCTGGCCAGGAAAGTTCTGCATCCCTACGACAAGTTGTGCTGGGTTAACACAGGCTTCCCTCTACCTACCCACAAAACTCTGGCTTACCCATCAGCTTTTCATCCCCACAGCTCACCCCAATAACACAACCCTATGTCTGAAGTACAAGGGAAAAACCACCAGGAGCAATAGCTGTTGGTTTTCCCCTTCTGTCAGCCAGGACCAGGCTTTCCTTAGCCACGGGCAACCGGAGGGCTTCACCTTGCTGCTCAGCCAGTTCACAGCATGCAGCAGGAGCCCCAGCAATGCAGCAATTCTGTCACTGTCTGCTCTCCTCAGGTGCATCTAGCAGGTGACAGCTCTCCTTTCTCCAGCTGCCTCAGTCATTCAATATTTTACAGCACATAAACTCAGTCTCACTGCTTGTAAGTAATGAACACAGATGTCACGCAGTAACTGTACACCGGGTTGTTCTTACCACAACCGAGATTAAATCTGAGAAAGAAAAACCCTCCTTAAAATTGAAAGGGGCCATGCCCTTTAATCATGAGTGCAATAGGAGCTGATTGTATTATTAAACTTATAGCAATGACTTCAGGAAACACAATGTGTTTTACTCAAATTGCACACTTTTTTGAACAGCTGTAAAATAGAGTATATGTGTAAATATTGCCACCACTGAAGAAGTATTTGTAATTTTAGCATATAAATATAACAGGCTTTTCAATGGGCTTGATGATGCCACGAGGCTGCGCATCAAGCACTCGGGTAATTTCAAAGTTGTAAATGTATTTGCTGTACAGAGGCAGTGTGTCAGTGCTCGCTTCTCCCAAGAAAACAGAGATGCTGGTCCCTTTTGGAGAGCCAGTGGCTTTCCCCAGAATGGCTGGCACCAGCCGGAGGGGCCAGCAGCTTGCTGCTGCACAGAATGGTGGCAGCTTCAGAGTGCACCCACCAGTCCGTGCACTGTCAAACCGCAGCACACTGGGCACAGATGAGGGGAGACCCACAGCCCGCCTTCAGATGGTACATCCAGGACCCAAAGAGGGCAGGAAGCACAGGGCAGGGTGGTGTGCCTCGGTGGTTCAAGAGACACTCGACATGAGCAATTTCCTAGCTGCAGATTGAAGCAATAGTCACATTGATGTCATCTCTAATATAGTGGACCTCATCTCTGCCACCCTTGCACATCACTGGAGTGGTCAAAGCACTGCCCCAAGGCCGGCCTCCAGCAGACTGCTCTGTATGTGATGAGACACAAAGCCATTGCTTGCCTCTGATGGTTAGTAACCTGCGGACCCAAAGGATCATCTTCCTAGGCTGCCCAGCATGCAGTGCAGGCTCCTGCCTTGGGGAAGCAGCACTCCAGGCTGCATGGAATGTATTTTTAAGAGAATAAATCTATTTTTTTTTTGTATTTGCAGACATATATTTGGGCTGGGGCAGCTTAGTTAGAAGATAAATAATGCAAGAAATCTTTTCATAATCACAGATTCATCCAAGTTAAGCAAATTTTCCAGGGTTACAGTATTGCCTATTTCCCTAAAACAAACTTTGTGTCCAATAGAGCTATGAGCACTGTTTCGCCCTCTCAAACCCCTCCCCATCTCAGCATGCTCAGTAGAGGGAAGCCAGCTCTTCCCTCCCCAGGCTGCCCATGCAGTGGATACAGATGGTGCTCACCTCCTAGTTATGCAGTGCTCTTAGTCTGCATGCCAAATGTAAACACACACTTTATCTGCATGTCTCTCCTGACTCAAACACTGTCAGCTCTACAGTATATAACCAATAAAAACTCTTTTTACATGTTTGTGGTGTGGTATTTGTAGCTCCAGCTGAATCCCTGTGCAGTGTCTGTTACTTGGAGGCACTGATGCCCTTTGAAGTGCTGAGGCAGCCCCAGTCTGCAGGCACTGTGCGTTAGCACTGAGTCTGACCACCTTGTTCTTTGGTTTTTGCCTGTATTGAGGCAGATCTCACATGGGCTGGAGGACAGGCATTCTTACAGAGGGAAGCTGAGACGCTGCTTCATTAGATTTCCTTCACTCAGCCAGTATAGACTGTACTGGAACCAAGATCTGTTGGCCATCTCCTGGAAGAAACTGGAGGATACAGAGGTCAGTGCAAGTGGCAAAGTCTCCTTCTCAGTTCCCAAGTTTTTGCAATATGCAATTAGCACCATCATATGCAGGACCAGCCCCAGTGACTAAAACCACATAATTTGGCGAGAAGTATGTTGAAGGTGCCCTGGGCACCACACTTAATTAGACAAAGCTCTTTATTCTATTTGACTGCAAAACTGGATGCATTTCCAGCAGCTCTGTTCAATGGGTTATTGGTATGGACTGGCATTTTAGGAGCCATCCATAGCCATCACTTCAGCCCCTGCTCCCTGGGTAGAGCTCATTAACTAGAGCTGAAGTCCTACAAACATTTCCTCTGTTAAATATTTGTCTAAGAAAACTGACTTTTGGCTTGACTGAGACCCCCTTCTATCCCAGTTCACATCATTACAGAGGTGGTTCTTCACCTTGTAACTGTTATTGTAGCTACAACACAAACGCTGCTGTGTCTGGCTTGCTAAGGACAGCAGAGGTCTGTAAATGTGGAATTGAAGAGTTACTGTCCAAAGCTTCCACATCTGCTCAAAGTCTCTCCCCTGCCAACACCTTAAGCACGTACCACAGGGTCGTTCTTTTCCCTGTTTGCGATTCCAGGCCAGGCTCACCGCTCCTCTGTGAGGACATTACAGTACAGGTGCTGGACTAACAGCTCACCCACAATAGCATTGCTGCTCAGCCATGAAACATCACTTTTTCTGAAGCCTTTTTTTACTCTGTTCTTTTTGATCAGCCACATCTACTCGCTTTGGTGGGTTTAAGTAGTCCTCATGTTGCCTACAGACAAGTGTACTCTCATTAATCCAGCTAGGAACCTTTCTGCTTTCATTGTATCTGTGAGAAGGCTGCTGCTCTAAATCATCCTTATTGGTGAGATTTTTGAGCCAGATGACATGTGCTGCCCATGCCCAGATCAAGCACTGCTGTTCGTCCCATGGATTCCTGATCAGGCACTCGCAGAGGTCTGAGTAGCACCTGGCCTTTTAACTGGCATTGCATCCAGAGTGGTAGTTACCTTAGCTCCAGAGGAGGCTGGCAGCTCCCCATAACCAGTTTCCTGACCTTGCGGACCGATCTGCCCACCACCATTACCACCACTCCAGTCAGAACAGTCCTAATGCTC